GTAACATGACAACATTAGATAACACTTATCATAAATATTAAAAAATAATATGATTTCTCTGAGAGGATCATCTTTCATCTTTTTCTTTAAAAGAAATATTAGAAACCTCCTTCTATTCCTTTTCTCTTAACTCTATTCTTCTTCTTCTTCTTCTTCTTCTTCTTCTTCAATAAACTAAATATCTCTTGCTTATTCTAATCTTACTAGTTTGGGGTTGATAAACTCTATGAGCTTCGAAGTTATATTATAATGATTAGACAATGTCTCACTAAATGTAATCTATTAGACAATATTGAGAAATGTTACCTTTCTTGAATTTTCTACTTTTTTTTCTCATTTCGTTTTAGATGTTCATTCCATTTTACTAGTCCTAGAGATAAAATTTATGGTTGTGACATACAAATCTTCACATTATTTTTAACAAGATAAATATTTATTTTATTATAATTTTTGAAAGATATATAATCTCTTATACTTTTTCTTTTTATTATTATGTATACACGTAAATTTTAAAAATTATAATAATGATAGTTTATTTATTTATTTATTAACTTTTAGATAACATATATTAGTGCATATTTATTCAGTAAGAATAATAATTTTTCTTCTTTCTTTTTCTTATTTATTTCTTCTACTATATCTTGTTTTATCGTTGAAGTTACCCTCCTTATTTATCATTAAAGTTTCTATCTAGTTTTGACCATCAAATCTTATATCTTGGTATTTCTAATTAGCGTTTGAGTAACTCCCATCTGAAACCCTTTTTAATTTTTTCTTCTAATTAGATTTTGCTTTAGTGCCTGTTTTTGGTATATCTCCTCTCATGGATCTTAATTTCATATGTTTCAAAAAGAGTATTACAATTTTCAATCTCCATAATATTTAAGTCATTTTGACTCCTCAATTTCAATTACTTCGTGATCAAATCATGGTAGCAATATTCTCAATGTATATAACTTGCTGATATGAAATTTTCTCTTTGCAAACCATTGTGATAGTGACAGTTCTTGCATATGTCAAATAGTCTATAACATATTTATCTCCTCCATGTTAAGAAACTTGTAGTGTCTAAATGAAACATCTTGCCCTATAACTAAATAAGGATATATAGTCATTTGACTTATTTCGAGCCTCAACATCTATGACATGATAGTGGGGACTACGTAATGTCCAAATAAATTATCTCATCATGTGACCAATCCAACAATTTGGTCGTGATTTTCTCCCTTAGGGATTGAATACCAAAAATAAAATTATAATATATCACCATAAATATTGTATAATGACATAATCTCGGTCCTAGATCCAAAGATTCTATATCCAAAGAGACTAACCCATTAAAAAGGGACTTAGAGTTAGCTTACAACCAAGTTCACTAAAAAAGGAATATAACTGATCAAAATCTAGAGATTTTTAGGTAGCAGCATTTGGCGCTATTTGTGGGAAATGATAAAGTGTTTCCTTTTATACGAAAGAAAAAAAAAACACAGGAGGAATGAGAGGAACAAGAAACCTAGGTGGGAAAATAATAAACAAGGATATTGCTTCCATAGAAGAAGAAACACATCATAATAAATCTCCTTTTTAATAATTAATCTAGAAAAGGCTACAAACATAAGTATCTTCATGCGTTAAAGTATCAAATTTTCATAAGTAATATACAAGCATATATAATCAATAAATACACAACATTAAAGTATATTTTTATTTATTATTGTTATATTATTATTATTTATACAACTTTTAAGTTTTGTTTTTCTATACATATTTTGTTCATTTGTCCTTGATCATTTGAAAAATGAATTTAAACAATGTATTATAAGACTTATAAAATCGTTGAAGATTATGAGAGGTCTAGGATTGATCTCGATACATATTTTTGCTTCATATACCTCCTGATTGTGGTAAATTACTGGTTGCCAAAGTTGTTGCAAGGGTTATAATATTTTAAGTAAATATGTTAGAGCTTAACCGTGTAAGGTACCTTCGTAATTTTATCCGATGAGTGATTAGACAAGGTCAAATTTATTTATTTTTAAATATTATTTAACTCGGTAGTTTTCAACAATATTTTTTTGTCTTCAAAATTTTAAAATTTTATTTAAGCATTTAGATTATAAAAAAATACTTAATACATTAAAACTACTAAAATAATATCTTGAATTAATAGTATATTATTATAATTTTTTTATTTGTTGTTATTTTTATTATTTTTATTGTCATTTATTATTATTGTTATTATTATTTTGTTTATTATTATTATTATTATCATTTATTGTTTTGGTATTTATTATTATTGTTATTATTATTATTATTATTATTTTGTTATTTAATAGAAAATTAACAAATAAGATGTGCTTAAACATTTATATATAATAAAATTATTATGTTTTGAATTCATTATGACGTGAAACATTGAGACTATATTGATGAATAATTATTTATTAATTTTAGTAATTTTATATTATGTAGGTTTGTTATAAGATTTTGACTCGATCGGACGTAACTATACAATAGCTCTTTGAGGTCGAACGACTATATACGATGATCTTTTGAGGTTAGACTACTCTACACGATGACCTAAGGTATAACAATAACATATTTTGATTATTAGTATAATATCATATTGACGACTCGACATAATACCATTGTCAATGATCTACTTCATCGTCCGTAACATGAGATTGGGGTCTATGTGGTGTCGGAATGAAGGATCTTACCCTATAATCTAATGACAACATAATAACGTGATCATTTGACTGATTTCGAGTCTCATAATATATGACTTGAGGTTACCAGGTTGTGTAGTATCCAAATAAATTACCTCATCATGTCGTTCGGTCATGATGTCATCTTCTCCTTTAGGATTATAATTTTGAAAATCTCATCTAAAATTATAATATATCACCATAAATCTGCATATCGATAGTTAAGTTATTTAATGGATATAATAACAGAATTTTGGGTCCTAACCTAAAAATTTGGTATCCAAAACAAAATAACCTATTAAAAAAGGAGTTAAGAGTATATTAGAACAAAGTTCACTAAACAATAAATATAGTTGATTAAAATTTGAGAATTTTTGAATAGTAACAAAATTCTTATTACCTTGACAATGTTTACCATTTAATCTTCTTAATTTGTTTTAATCACCATATTTTTAAAATTTGAATTGATAGATTCCCGTATAAGAAATTTTGTCTTATTATAAGTTATTATTATTATTATTATTATTTCAATATCGACTATTTTTCCCTTAAATGCATTTTTGTAAATTCAATCATCATTTGATTTCAATTAAGTAATATTCTCTCGTAACATTCTCAAACTAACCACTTAAATATCACAACTCTCACATAAATATTTAAAAAAAATTTAAATTTAAGTAAAATTTTGATATGAAAAAATAAAATAATAATAATAATAATAATAATAATAATAATAAACCTATTAATAAAATATGAATTGAAACAATAAACTTATTAATCTTAATCTTTTAAATTTTCTTAAATTTATTTAAATAAAAGTTAATAACCTATAAATTAATTTATATAGAATATGTAGTATTATAATCATTATCTCAAATTTTATATATATATATATATATATATATATATATATTTCAATATTAAAAATTATATTATATATAAATAATTATTTATATTTTTATTTGATACAAATTAAATTATAAATAAAAGAGTAAATATTTTTAACCTCTTAGTAATTAAAGAAATATATAAAACAAATAAATATAAATATAAAAATAGATAAATATATATGATATTTAACTTATATGTATGTTTGTTTTTATTACAAAATGAAAAAAGACATTATCAATTTTAGCTTCTTATGTTATAAGTATTTATTTTCATTTTAGTTATCTGTTTCACTTTATTATAAAAGAAAATATGTTTTTGTAAGTAGTTTATAAAAAAAATAGAAAAAAATGGAAGAAAAATAAAGACACGATGAATTTATTTTATTAAGAATTTTTTTTTCATTTTTTACATCAGATAAGATATAATCTATAAAGAGTTTTTATTTTATTTTTTTTATAAAATTAACAAAATAGATTTTTACTCTGAAAAGTTAACAATTGAATAGCTAATACAAAAGTACAATCCAACTTATTCAAAAAAATTTCTTAAAGGTTTTTTTTTGTTTATTTAAAAATTTGCAAACCAAACATTGGAAAAAAAAAACATATATAAGTCCATGTATATGATAATACAAATTAATTATAAATCTTCTTAAAATAATTACTTAATGTGTTCTACCACCCTTTAATATTTTCACTTAATTTATTAAAATAATAATGTATATTTAATATTTTTCAAAATAAAATATTTTCAGTTAAAAAAATTATTTTTATAAGTAAAAATGTTTATTTTTTATTTTAAAAGTAAAATAATTATTACTATGACATGTTAACACTAATCAAAATGTAATAATTTATAAAATAAGAAATGCTTATATTATAAATATAATAGAAAAAAATTATTTTTTATGACTCTCTCAATTAAACATTTTTTATATCATCTCAATTTTGTTTGGTGTTCATCTTCCACATTACTTTTGCAACAAGAAGATATTATCTCTTAATCATCTCAAATTATCTTTTAATTTTTATTTGAATAGTATATGTTTATAATTATATGCTTCAATTTACAATTTTATTTTTATTTTGAAATTAATCGATAACAATTTACAATATGTCAATAATTAAATATATTTTTATATTAAAAATTAAATTATTTAAACAATCCGTACATTAAAATATTCATTTATTATAAATTTAATTTTAATATATAAAACAAAACATTATCTTGTGGACAGATACTGTAGTTGATGGTACATATGTTTTGACTTTTGACACGCGTGGGTATGATGACGAGAAGAAAAATCATAAATTGGATTGTTCCTCCCAAATGTGAAGCTCCACCGAACATTTTCGTAGGTGAACACTGAATTATTCAAAACACCAGAATTTGGTGAAAACGATGAGCAGTGAAAGGAGAATTGGGGTTGCTTTGGATTTCTCTAAAGGAAGCAAGTTAGCTCTCAAATGGACTATTGATAATCTTCTCCGAAACGGCGACACACTCATCGTCGTCCACATCAAGCACTCCCGAGGAAGTGAATCCCGAAATCTTCTCTGGTCTACCACTGGATCACGTAAGCTTCTTCTTTTAATTAATCGAAATAATATTTGTAGAGTTTGGATCTTGGAATTCTGATTATTGTGTGATGTGATGTGGGTGAAGCATTGATTCCGTTGTCAGAGTTCCGTGAGAAGGAGGTGATGCATCATTATGAGGTGGATTCTGATGCCGAGGTGTTGGACCTGCTTGACACCGCTTCTAAGCAGATACAGGTTTTTACTTTTTTTAATTTTACTAATTAATTGGTGTACGAGCTTGTCCTCTGTTGTTGGATTGATTTCTTGCGTTTTGATTTGATTTTTTGAAGGTTGTTTTGATTTAGTTGCTTGTTGATTGTTGAGTTTGTTTGAACTTTCCTTGTATAATACAGGTGGTTGTGCTTGCAAAGCTGTACTGGGGTGATGCAAGAGAGAAAATTTGTGAAGCTGTTGGGGATTTGAGGCTTCACTCATTGGTCATGGGTAGCAGAGGCTTGGGTGCCATACAGAGGTCTTCCTTTTCCTTTCTCCCTCTAATTTAGAGATAAATACATGCATCAAAATATGATTATGTGAACTAACAATAATGATTTACTTGTTTAAATTAGTCTAGTTTCTTAGATACATTTGCTGTTGATCTCTAATTAGAATTTGAAATTTCATCTTTGTAATATATGTTTACCTCTAATACAAATCTTTGTTGTATAAATTACTGAAATGAAATTCAAATTGTAACGGGAGATCAACACTAAAAGCACCCGAAGAAGTGTATCTATGTTTTGCCTCATGCCAATTGCATCTTGACTCAAACTTTGGCTCTAGCGGTAGTCTTAAAGACACCTCCAAAAATGATGTTTCGATTAGATTTCACCATACCTAATGTTGTGGAGGGAGTTACTGGATGAAAAGAAAAAGGGAGGATCCAATTTCACCTTTAACTACAAATAGTACATGATTTTCTCAATTTAAAATTTTCATTTATCTTTCTATTGAAACAATGGATCCCCAAAGGTAGAAAACAGAAGTTCAAACATACTTAAAATTATAAATTCTATCGATGGACAGTGACAATTTGATGATGCTGTTTTTTGTTATTGGTTGATTGTAGGGTATTGCTGGGGAGTGTGACCAGTTATGTCACCATAAATGCAAGTTGCCCTGTAACGATTGTGAAAGACTCTACCCCTTCTACTGTCTGATATGCTACTGAATTCGGTTGCTCTTGCAATCCGTTGTTCCATCTTCATCAGTGACCAGACTGTGTTTCCCTCTGTTCATCTTACACATGTGTAGGTGGGATTGTGAACACACTTGACGATTAAGGATTCGTCAAGCATAATTTTAGTGTTAGCAGTCTCTTTTAAGTGCTTGGTTATAAATAAAGCATGGTGTTGATCTGTACCGAACTTACGAGTGCAAATGATGATGTGGTAGTGTGAAATGTTTGAATAAGATACATTTTGTAACATTTAATCTAAAATTATTTTTGGAAGAGTCATATCCATGCCTCAAACATGTTATTAATTATAATCATGGCTGCGATGACAAGGCAACAATGTTAGTGTTATTATGCTCTATTGAGAATTTAAATGAATTTAAGTGAGTTTTATAGTTGAGAAAGATCATGAGTTAATGTTTGAGGTTTTGGGATAAAGAATTTCATTTATGAGAATTTTTTTATTATTAGTTTTCATCGAAAATAAATAAATTATTTTCTAGTAGTATTGAATATTTAAAATCTAAATTTTAAATTTATTGTCCAAACATTAAAAATGATATTTAAGTCTTATTGTAAAATGAATTTGAACATAAATATGTTTTGCTCTAAAAACGTATGTATGATTATTAAATTTAAAATCAGTTAGTATTTATTTTAAGTGATTAAACACAATTTGAACGTATATATGTTTTGCTCTAAAAACGTATGTATCAAACAAACTTTTTTTTTTTCAAATTTATTCGTTGGCGACATTTAAAGTGTTCAATCTTTTATAAACTATCAGTTTACAATTTTACAAGAGTAAATAATACTATCATACTTAGTAATCCTCAAGTAGATGACAAGATAAAAAACAATATTTATATTATCATGTTCTTATGTAAAATCAAATATGCTCACGATTAAAAATATTTTTTCTTATAATCTCAGCTTATTTAATTGATTGAAAATTTGTTTCCTGCAGTGTTCATTCACTATGGAAGTGCAAGCAGAATTAACCGTGATACTGTTCTTGTGAAGCAAAATTGCTCTTCAAACGAGTCTAATCTTCCCGGTGAATCGTTAGATTATCAATGTTTACCATTTTCTTGTGCTAAAGGGTGGAGAAAATATGATTATAGGTTTCGTTATTTTAGTTGCTTCCGAACAATTTGTTCATTGCCATATGGATGATGAAACTGAACAAGAGCATTGAGATCTTTCAAACCGAGTAAAGTTCAACCAGTTTCAATATCAAAAGTGTATCTCAATTGAGCAAGGACTCAGTAAACAGTAAGTGTAAATTCTTCATTGTTTACTTTATCCGTACAGTTTTCATTCAAAGAGCAAGACTAGTGCTATCAAACTTGACTATCTTCTCATCATCTATTTAATGGAAAAATTGACTATCCGATTACACCAACATAGAAACTATTCACCCACACTCCCCATGCATATCAGGTATATTCAAGAACTAACAACTCTTTCGAATTAAACTCATTAAACCTTTTACTGTGCGCATAACTCTGCTCAGCAGCACAACAAAACACCATTTTTAACTTGGGATAACATAGCAAAGGGGGTTTAAACCTCAGCGTGCGCCAAATATCTCTTGTGGTGGATCATAGATACTTGAATCAGGAAAAATCTCCTCAAAATCTTGTTTCACTTTGTTTCTCAAAAGAGGATGCGGCAGTAGTCCTTTCAACAAAATTCTGAACGGCAACTCGTCTGGTGGTTCCGGAGAATTCTTCATGTCCTCATATATGTTCATCGCATCCGCGGGAGATCCGTAGTTCAAGAAGCCCCTTATGACTTCAGTATAAGTCTGAGAATCAGGGAACAGATTTTCCTTTCTCATGCTTTCCCACAATTCCAATACTTCATTCATTTTTTTAGACCTTGCCAATGCAATTATCAAGTCCTTATAGAGGAATGCATCAGGCTTGTACCAGTCTTGCTTTTGCATCACCTTAAACATCTGAAAAATTCATTCAGTTAGTTACTTGTAACCTCATTACTACAGGTAGTGTAGAGCGATAATAAGGTTTAATGCATCACTATGTCCTAAACATTTGGGGAATTTTTAACCAGGTCCTTAAACTAACACAAAATTGTAATTAGTGGTTTGAAATAGCCAAAGAAACAATAATTTGTGACAATCTAATTTAAAAAATTACAGGAGATCTAGGATCGCGTTATAATTTAATTTTACTGTAGGGACCTGATTAAAAAACAAAATTACTTAACCTTTCAAATAGTTGTCATAAATAATCACTATAACAAAACAGTTCTGACTAAGAAGCATTATGACAAACACGTTATGGGCAAATAACATAGGAATTAAAAATGCAAAATAATTGGAAGAGTGAAAACCATGAGAGCAAGAGAAACTTGTTCTTGGCGCTCAAGTTCAGTGAGAACAGCGATCATGTCCATCTTCAAGAGTCTGAGAACGTGAGTTTTGATGAACCTCTGAAGCTTATCTTCGTCATCCTTAAACCTCTTTAACCCCGATATCACAAAGAGCGCCTCTTTGCCAATGAGCTTCTTTCCCCTCCACAGGGGCCCTCTGGGCCTTCCGTCATGGTATTGCCTCAAACACGACGCCGTTTTGAACGAATTACATTCATCAAAGGGCAATGAAGTTGAAGTGTATTTAATGGGTTTGCTGGTTCTGGGAAACTCTCTCAATAATAAAGAAGCAAAATCACGGATTTTACAACATTTCGAGAAGGCACGATTCGCCATCACACTACACTACAAATGAAATACCAACACATAAGGCACTGTTTGGTTTGGATTTTGAATTATATATACTTATCAGTTCGTTCGATGCGAAGAAAATCAAAAGGACACGAACCAAAGCTATGTTTTGGAACTTTAAACCCGTTTCATAAGAAGGGAAATGAGGGTAGCTGTATTGGGCCAAATTTGGGCCTGTAGCCTTTTTTTATGATCTCATTTAGTCACTCGACCAAAAATATAGAAAACACCTCCTCCGAATTGGTTTGTTCCTGACATTCCAGTTTCAGTATAATTGCATTTGTGTATAAATTATAGAATAATCTTTGAAAAATGCGATATTAGGCCAAACATTGTCGTGAAAAACCAAACAAAATCATTTAGAGATTTTTGTTTTCTGGAAAGGTGGAAATGAGAGAACTTCTAAATTAAGAAGAAGGTGTTCTCTACTCCCAAATATCAATTTTGCTTCACAAAAAAGAATAATTAATACAAATTATTGTTGTTCCTCCCTCTCAAGCAAACTCAGCAGGAAACAAAATTTCAACAACGTGCACGATTCTATGATGATAATATTAAAAAAAATATATCAGATTTGATATATGCAAAAAGATTGAACCATACAAACAATTTCCCAGCCAAAATAGCAAAATAAAAAAGAATGGAGAATTAGTTTGAAGCCCGATCGGTTGATTTCATCATCCTTTTCCACGATCGACTTTGAATATTAATTGATGACACAATTTCTCTTTGACACGTTAAACAGTTGAATCGATAGTTTTTAATTATAGCTTAACGAGTGAAGGAATAGAGGACGAGAAAAACATAGATAAGAAGCGCAGAGGGAACAAGAACGAGCAAGGGAGCCACCGCAGCGAGAGTATGAGGACTCCCACAAGAAATGGTTCCCAACTTGATCTGCACCAAATCCACAAGAGCCATCACCAGAAACCCACATCCGAAAACCGACCCAAAAGCCGAAACCAGAGTCCCCAACCTCAAAACCACCGTGTTAATTTTGGCAACACCGTGGACCCAGCTGTTGTTATTGTTATTGTTATTGGCCAAAACGTCACCGTCGTCGACGTCCTTGCTCAAGTTGATGACGTTTTTTAGAGCCAAGGCGATGAGGCTAGAGAAGAGGAAGGAGCTGAAGGAGTACACGTGGAACGCGATGAGGCCTTCGGAAATAGAGGTTCCGGCGGCGCAGTGGGTGTCTTCGGCGTCGATGAGGGTGTTGGTGGTGCTGGTGGTGGTGATGCCGAGGAAAAGGGCTAAGGTGAAGAGAGAATTGACGTTGACGATGCCATCTAAGGCCATTATGTGGATTCTGGTGGTCGTCATTTTCCGGCGAGACACGTTAGACATTCCAGGTGATGAAACCAAACCAAAAGAAAATAACATTATATTTTTCTTCGCATGTAACCCCTGATGCGGTTTTGTTTTCTCAGCTCAGCGATTGTGTTTTGTATTGCTTGCAAGCATCAAACATTACAATTGCGTTATTGTGTCCGTTGAGAGTGGCGTGTAAGCTTACGTTTGGAACCAAACCCAGTTAACTTTTTTCCTTCTCAAAGCTTTGTAAACACAATGTTCAAAACTAAACTAGATAAAACGATGGAATTTCGCCATTGCCTAGAATCGAAACCTGATCGTCCGCATGAAAATTGAAAAACACCTACAACTGCATTATAATATTCGTAACCGTTCACATTATTATTAACTTTAATAGATAGTAAATCAAACACGCATTTAATTTAATTTACGCAAATAATTCATGGACATCAAACTACTCCTTAGAAAGAGATGAAAATTAAAAAATATAAATTTATAAAAAATATAATGTTATATATGTAAAAGAAATAAAAATAATAACAAAGTGTATAATAAATATTTGGTAAATGTTATTTTTATTCCTAAAATAGTATTGAAATTTAAACTTTATAATTTTTTGTAATTCTACTATGATTCACAATACTTTTCCATTAGTTTCTAACTTTTTTATGTTTTTGAAAAACTTATTTAAACTTACAAGTAGTGTTTGGTAAATAAGTTTTTCTATTACTAGCATATCAAATCTTCTGACACAACTACTAGAAGTAGAGTCTCTTAAAACGCTCCTTTCTAGCTTCTAACTTCTATATTTATTCCATTGTTATCTTTAAACTGTTTATTCGTGTTTTTATATATATATATACATGCCTAAAAGGGGCCCTTTCCATTGATAAATTACAAATCTTCAAAATTCGATAAACTCAAGACCATCACAGCGTTTGTTATTTGGGATTCTTTGGCGAAGAATTTCTTTACCCTCCAAATTCCGTCATGGTATCGTATTGCCTCCAAACGACGCCGTTTTCAATGAATTACAAGGAATATATAACAGTATTGGTTATTTGGGTTTAAAACAGAAGATGTATAACATTGAGTTGCCATTTGCCAGCTAAGAAGCCGAGACAATACAGAAAAATTGATCGGGAAGTACACTGCCAGTGATACCTGGAACATGAGTAGATCATAACCCAATTCAGACGATGCAAAAACTAAATTACAAAATTCAATTTCATACACTGCTAGAATTGTATCCCATCCCTAGCACTTAAGTTACAACTGTGCCTTCTCAAGAAGGATCATCTTTTTCACTCAAAATTGATGCCCTTTGGAATCTCAATTTATCAATTTCCCTCCCTAGATAATCTAAAGTAGTGTCTGTAACATGGTTAGGGGTGCATCCAGCATCCAGCATCATTTTTAAGAACTTATAAGCATCCTTCAATCGCCCTGCCTTACTGTGAACTTCAATCAATGTATTATACGTGACAACATCAGGATTTATCCCAGTGCTCCTCATTTGCTCAAAGAGCTTATTCACCTCATCGATTCGGCCTGCCTTCCCCAGAGCATTGATGAGAGTGTTATACATAACTATGTCAAGATAACCACCCTGCTTCAGTAGCCTATCAAGAACAGCATTGGCTAGATCAGCCCTTCCCATCTTTCCTAAACCTTGAATTATCATATTGTACGAGGCTATATCAGCAGGACAAAATTTTTCTCCCATTTCAGTTAGAACAGCCCAAGTCTCAGTGAAATAGCCCTTCTTGACAAAAGAACTCATGATAGAATTATACGTGTAACTCACAGGATCCACACCTGCATCACTAAAAATTTCAAACAATTTGCAAGCCAAGCTCAACTTTCCCTTGGCCAAAAATATAGACAAGAAAGTATTCACCATATCAACATCAAAAGAATCCGGTCCTTTTTCTTGAACTCTTTGACCGCGAGAAGGAGTAAACAGCTGCGAAGAATAACCAGTGGAGCACACTTGATTGGCCAACTTATCCATGTGCGGCGATGATGACCACTCATCAATTTCATCGCAGGAAATTTCCTCCCCATCATTCATGTTGGTGGTATCCCGGGCACAGCTCATGAAGCTCATGATGTCACTAAAATCTCCTTTTGAAGGGAACATGGGTGAGTAATCCTTTTTCTTGCCAGGAGGGTTCTTCATAGAAGCTTCCATTCCAGCTTTCCATTTGAGGACGGAAAGTACTAAATTACCCTCCCTGATATGCTTCATAAGCCGGTCCGTCCAGTCCCAGCGATCATGCCTATGAATGCTAATCAACAGCGATGAAATGGTGACAAGGTCAACAACAAAACCTCTGCTTTCCATTTCTTCCACCAACTTCAGCGCCTCCTCTAGGTGACCCTCCTTACAAAGCTGCAACACAACAATGCTGTAAGTAATCCCATCCACAAATTGGCCCTTCTTCTTGAGGTCACAAAACATAGTATAAGCAGCTTCCGCCCTGCCATTCCTAAGCAACCCATGAATGAGAATATTATAAGTCCAGCAAGAAGGTCTCACCCCTTGTTGAACCATTTTCTCAAACAGCTGGCAGGCTTCAACAACCTTTGCGGCCTTAAAATGTCCATCCAGCTGAGAATTATAAACAAGCGTATCCGGGCGGAACCCATTGCTCTGCATGTGGTTAAAAACCCTTGTGGCATCACCCATTCTGAATGTTTTGCAACAGGCATGAATAAGGTTTGTGTAGGTGAAGCGATCAGGTTGGTGAGCTGAGCCATTGAGCTCCTCCCAGACAACAAGCGCATCATCCACCTTGCCAAGCCTGCAAAGCGCAGTGATGAGACTGTTGTAAGTGCACAAATCCGGGGCAACCAACCCCTTATTATTGTCCTTCATCTCCTTGAAGAGCGCAAAGCAAGTAGCCAAATCACCCCAACAACCAAACGCGTGAATACACACATTGTAACCCCGTGTATCAAACGAAAACCCTCTCTTCTCCCTCAATTTCGCAAACACTTGCTTAAACTCCACCCTCATATCTGCCTTTCTCAGAGAAACCAACAATTGGTTGCAAGCGATGGATTTCGAATCCAACGCGTCGAGGAGCTTGAAGAAGATGGATAACGCGAGAGAGAGTTGGTTTTTTGCGAGTAGAGCAGCGATGAGGGAGTTGCAGATTGGGGTGGGGTCGAGGTGAAGGTGCTGCACGTAACCTAGTAATTGAAAAACTAAATTGAAGTTCAAGGACAGGATGAAGGAATGGAGGAGGTGGTTGAGGGAGTGGGGGTCGAGAACGACGCCGTCTTGCGTCATGGAATTGAGCAGGGAGGGGATGTCGGAGAAGAAGCCTGCGCCGGTGAGGGAGCGGAGGACGAGGGAGTACGCGGCGGGGGAAGGGTTGTGGTGGGCGCGGGAGCATTCGAAGAAACGAAGCTTTTGCGAAGGGTGAAGCGATGGGTTTGAAAGGATTTTCAGAATAAGGGGTTGGGTGAGTCCGAGAACGACGGAGCGTGGGATATTGAGCGTTGCAGCGTGAGAGTGGGATAGCGTGTTGGTGATAGAAGCCGCCACCAACGCCTCTCCCAACTGTTTCCATTGCCGCATTACACTCTCAACGCCTTCCGCTTCTTCATTCTTTCGAATGAAACTCTTGATTCCGTTTCGAAATCAATGCGTCGCCGTTTCGGCGTGTTAAGCCTTGGGCCCACCGAACCAACGGACCTATGTGGATTTGGGCAGGCCCATTGACTGAATACAAGTCAAACACTGCATTAACTGTTGTTGTAAAAATAAATAAATAACTTTCATTTTCATAGTCTCATTTTTGTCCAACAACTTGGACCTTGGTAAATAAAATCCAACTACATTGGAACCATTGGATCTGGTCTAGTGTTGAGTAAATAATAATAAATTAATATTTTGACAAACTGTGTTTGATTTTGTCAAGATTGAATAAGTGGATGAATGTGTACTATAAATATGTATATACTTGCAATTTATACAACCAACAAACTATAATAATATATAGACTTATTATGTCAGGACAGATTGCTCTGTGTAACCTGACATTAAACAAAAAAAAAGTTCAAGTTTGATTTTGGTGGACAACAACTACTACATACACATATTTTATGGCAAAAATGGAGATAGAAGACCAACTTAATTAATTTGTTTTATAGAAATGGTTAGTTATTAAACATAGTTAGCGTTGGTAACTAAGTGGTTTAGTTAGCGTTGGTAACTAAGTGGTTTGTGTCTAGTATCTCTTATCCAACATTATTTACTTCTCTTCCTTTCTAACATTTCAGTTAGTCTTTTAGAGATTAAAATTATGTGTGATTTTAATATCTTTAAGTGAATTTAATTACGTTGAAATACATAATAAATCCGTAATTTTGATTATAACAACTAAGTTATATATATGATTAAGTTTTGAAAAATTTGTTTTAAACAAGGAAGAAGATAAAAATAATAAATCATTTAATACTTAATTCACAAGTTAATAGACACATCATCATCTAATAGTCACTGTACTAGATAATAAAATAAATATAATTTTGTCAACGAATATATGTGTAATTATCAAAATATTATCTTCAAAAAAGAAAAATAATATATATATATATATATTATAATAAATAATCAAATAAAATATGATAACTTACGAGAGAAGTATTTGAACAAGACAATGAAGAATATATAGAGACATTAAAAAGATTATGTGCAAAAAATAAATATGAAGAAAAGTTTAACAATATCAAGTCATGAAAAATGATTTCCAAGGAACATTGAAAATTAAGGTTTCAATAATAACATTTTGAAACCTATAAAAAAGTAGACTTTAATTACTAAAGAGAGCACACAATAATAACTACAATAAAATTCTACAAATCTTATCATTTTATCTTCTTGGTGAGAATTTTCTTTTAGAAAATTTAAGAGTAAAAAAATTATTATTATATCCTTTACCAATGAAGTAAAATCTTTATTAGAGTGCTCATTAGTTTTGTCCCTGCTTATTTAATCATCTTATAGATAAGAGTTAATAATACTTGTGTTCTTATTTTCACGAGAAAATTAGGGT